TGTTAGGAAGGCGGGCTCCGCACCCCTCACCCTGCGCTTCCGGGGCCCACGGCGCTGAGGGCTGTGAGGGCTCCTCGCCCAACGCAGGACCCGGGGTTCTTCGTCAGTGGGCCTAGGATGACGCTTTAAAAACCCTTTGTATGTCTTTACTGCACTTCTGACATTTTAAATTTTTTGACTTTATGGAAAAAAAATTTTCATAACCAAATGATAGAATTATGCTTTTCTAAGAACATAATTGTTTAATATAGTGCTTGAGAATCACAAGTTAGACTGTTAAAATGTTTCACTTTTGTCTTTAAGTTTCATTAAAAAAATTATAGTATAGTACAATAATTGACCTTTATGGGAATGCAGTTGTGTGAATTTTAGACTCAGATCACCGTCACAGTAACCGGGATATAAAACAGATCTGTCACCCTCAGAAAACTCACGTTATCCCCCCTTTTTTTTTTTTTAACGATTCTTTGCCTCGTTTACGTTATCCCTTATCACTCCCTAACCCTTGCAGTCACTGACCCTTCCGGAATGTCTTTCCACTGAGGTCCTAACAGCAGGAAAGCTTTTGATGCTGGCTGCTGTCTCTCTCCTAATGCCTTTGTGCATTTTCCAAGTTGTTTCACTTGTGGATAATTGTTTTTACTTTTCTTTCTTTTGTACTGTAAAATAATATTTCATTAGAAGGTTGTGCTACATCCTTGTACCCATTTTTCCATCCTTTGGAGGACATCTGGATGGTTTTCAATTTTAGGCGATTATGAATACAGCACAGTATAAAATCTGCACAGTACAGTACACATTTTAGTGTGATCTTTTGTGCTACACGTGAGCTTTCAAGGTTATATGGAAAATGTAATTTTAATTCTTAAAGAACTATCAAATTTTTCCTGGGTGGCTGTCATTTTGCATTCCCATCAGGGACATGAGAGGTGCAGTTACTCTGCATCCTCCCCAGCACTTGGTGGTGTCATTTTTTTTCTTTTTACTATTCTTGTAGGTGTGTGGTAGTATCTCGTGGTCCTAATATGCCTTTAATGACCAGAGGTGTTTAAGTTCTTTTCATGTATTAATCTGGCCAAGTCTTGTCCTGTTTTTAAGTTGAGTCATTTGTTTTCTTATGTTGAGTTTCAAAGGCTCTTTATATGTTCTGGCTACAAATTATATGTAAGAGTGCATTTTTTCCCACTCTGTAGCTTGTCTTTTCACTGTTTTGATAGTATCTTTCAGACACCAAATGTTTTTAATTTTTAAGGAAGTCTGGCATATCACTTTTTCCTTTTTATTACTTTCGGTATATCTGCGAACTCTGCTTATCTCAGGTCAAGATTTTTGCTTTCTAAAAAAAATTTTTTTAGAAGTTAGTTTCACATTTAGGCCTGTGATTAATCTTGGGTTAAATGTATAAGGTGTGAAGTTTTATTTTTTTGCATATAGACATCCAGTTATTCCATCCCTGTTTGTTGAATGACTGTCCTTTCTCCACTGAATTGCTTTCACACCTTTGTTAAAATCAGTTGTCATGTTTGTGTGCATCGACTTGGAGCTCTGTGTCCTGTTGTATTGGTTTGTGTATCTTTCCCTTTGCACATTTTACAGTTTTTGATTAATTGAGCTCTATAATATCTTAAAATTGAGCAGTATGATTTCCTCCAATTTTATTTCTTTCTCAAAATGGTAGTAACTATTCTAGTTCCCTTGCCTTTCCATGTAAAATTTAGTCAGCTTGTCTATACCAAAAAAGAATCCTGCTGGTACTTTAACTTGAATTACATCAAACCCTTGGAAGAATTGGAAAGAAAGGCCAGGAATTTAGCTCAGTGGAACCGGGCCTTGCTTCACAAGTGCGAGGTCCTGAGTTTGATCGCTGGTACCAAAGAAAAGAAAAAAGAATTGGAGAGAAATGCTGGATTTATTTTGTCGAATCTTCCAATTCACAGTCTGTGTCTGTTTATTTAGGTGTTTGATTAGTTTCATTAGTGTCTTGTGATTAGTGATGTGGTATCATCACTAGATTAGTCCTCTCCTAAGTTCATAGAAGAATGTGCTCTTGGAAGGTGGGGGCCTGGAGGGGCAACAGATGAGTCACTGGAGGTGTGATTTGGAAGGGGATTTTTTTTTTTTGGTACTGGGGATGGAACTTCTTGCTTTGCGTTTACAAGGCAGGCGTGGTGCCCCTGAGCTAAATCCCCCACCCTTTCGAAGGGGATATTCCTGTCCCAGGCTCCTCCCTTCTGATTGCTGGTTGCCTTGAGTGGAACAGCTTTTCCTTGCCATGCCCTTCTGCTGTGCCATCTCTCCTTTGAACCTGCCACCTGGACCAACCCCTCTGAAACTGTGAGCCAAGTGAATGTCTCCTCCTCTAATTTGTGGGTGTTAGATATTTTGTCCCAGCAACAATAAAGTGATTACTAATACAACAGTCTTTCAGAATTAAGAACGATGTTAAATTTAGATTTTGGGTGATAGATGCCCTTTGTCAATCTGAAGAAGTCTTACTTTATTTCTGGTTTCTAGGATTTTTTTTTTTTCTCACAAATAGCTATTGAATTTTGTGAAGTATTTCCTGTCTATCTCTTGATACTGTGATGTAGTTTTTCTTATCTATTAATTTGGTGGATTATATTGATTGGTTTTCAAGTATTGAACCAGCTTTACATTCTCAGAATCAAGTCCATTTGGTTGTAATATATTGGTCTTTTAAAAATATGTTGAATTAAGTTTATTAATATTTTGTTGGAAAGTTTTGCATTTTTGTTCATAAGAGGTTATTTGTCTAGTTTTCTAATTTGATGGAAACCCCAGCTCAGAGAGGCCTGGCCCCAATCGTCCTGCTGGTTTAGTCTTGACCCTTGGGGAAAGGAGTGGGCAAGGTAGTGGCAGCGGAAAGGATTGCCAAAGGGCATCTCTTTTGAAGAGAGATCTAAGCTCACACTTCTGTGCTTATTTTGACTTATTTAATTTTTTGAGATAGAATTTTGCAGCTCAGGCTGGCACTGAACTTCCAGTCCTTCTGTCTCAGCCTCCCAAGTGCTAGGATTAAGGTGTGTACCACTGCATAGGCTTCTCTGTACTTTTTTTTTTTCTCAGAACCAGGGATTGAACTGAGGACCTTGTGCTTGCCAGGACCAGGAAGGTGTGGTGCCACTGAGCTAAATATCTCCAGCCCCTTCTGTACTTATTTTTTGAAACTGGATTCCAAAGCCCTTTCTCTGAGATTTTGCATTACCTGAGCTGGAGACCCAGAACCCATACTTTATAGCAAGTGCTAATAGATGAATCTTATGACCATTCAAGTTTTTGAAGTTCTGGGGGCAATTATTGAAAATCTATAAAGAACAAAGAAAAAGTCTTCATATTTCAGACTCTTCCTAGTGGTTGTATAAATAGGTTTTCAGTAAGGGAGGTGTAATATATAATTGCTAAATGGGTAGGACCCTAACTACTAATTTTAAGAAGAAATACAAAGAAATCGACTTTCTGTTCTTTTTGGTCTAAAATGCAGAGTGCACATTCTATTACTTTCATTCTATGAGTAATTATAGTTAGCAACTAAAGAATGCATGGAATAAGATTATTTGTACAAGATTCACTGCAATCTAAGCACTAAACAGTGTAACCAAGAGCCCATTACAGACAACATAGTTGTACATTATTATGCAAAACCTTTTTGGGGCCATTTTTCTGGAGACATTAATTACTATCTATGAGATTGAAAAGGACTTTTCCAGATTTTATATTTGTTGCTTTCAAGGCAATACACTATGAGGGACTTATTGTGTTACATAAACTACTAATTTATGCACGCTCATTTTCAACTATAGAAAGTTCTTTATGTTTGTCAACAACCCTGTGAAGTAGATACTATTGCCAGGATACTGAAGCAAAGAAGTTAAGCAATAACTTTACTCAGATGACAAATCTAGTAAGTGGCAGCTTTAAATTGAGCCTCAACTCCACTGCCTGTAGTCTTCCTTTCCGTAGAAGGAAGAACTAAGCAGATCTAGGCATTTACTGGTACATGGATGTCATGCTTTGTGCTACTAATAAAGTATTAAAAATAAATCATTTAGGGGCCGGGGATTTAGCTCAGTGGTGCCACCACCTGCCTCACAAGTGCAAGGTCCAGAGTTCAATCTCCGGTACAACAAAAACAAAAACGAAACAAAAATAAATCATTTCACCTTTCAAATAATTTATGTTGTCTGAAAGAGGTGGAGCCAGAGCCTCAGTCTTAGAAATAAATTCTTGCAGTGAAATGCAGTATAACTATTTCTTGATAAAACAATTGTATTTATACAATTTTTTTATTATGGAAAAATAATTTCATCTTAAATTACAGATCTGAGAGAAGATCCAGTTACCAGGAATTTGAGTTGATAAAGAAACCATTTCTACTTCAAAAATGTTGGAGGAAGATATGGAAGTAGCTATTAAGATGGTGGTTGTAGGGAATGGAGCAGTTGGAAAATCAAATCCAGAGTTCTCTCCGGTACAACAAAAACAAAAACGAAACAAAAATAAATCATTTCACCTTTCAAATAATTTATGTTGTCTGAAAGAGGTGGAGCCAGAGCCTCAGTCTTAGAAATAAATTCTTGCAGTGAAATGCAGTATAACTATTTCTTGATAAAACAATTGTATTTATACAATTTTTTTATTATGGAAAAATAATTTCATCTTAAATTACAGATCTGAGAGAAGATCCAGTTACCAGGAATTTGAGTTGATAAAGAAACCATTTCTACTTCAAAAATGTTGGAGGAAGATATGGAAGTAGCTATTAAGATGGTGGTTGTAGGGAATGGAGCAGTTGGAAAATCAAGTATGATTCAGAGGTACTGCAAAGGCATTTTTACAAAAGACTACAAGAAAACCATTGGAGTTGATTTTTTGGAGCAACAAATACAGTATGTACTTGGCTCTTTGATTCCTTTTGATTTATGAACTATGCCTAAGACTTTCTTTGTAATAACAGTACTTGTAATTATTAATTACAAAGTTAGGCAACTAGTGGTGGTGCTTAATGGACTGTTGGTGGTGGTTTTCAGTTATACTTTAGCATATATAGCTTTATTCTTTTTGTTCATCTTTTTTTCCCTTTTATTAAATATTTTTATTTTTCTTCTAACCTTTTTTCCCCCTCTTACATGTGCTTTGTTAAACCTTAGTGTGTCCTAAACATAAACTGATGCTTGACTCCAATGAGATTGCCGTCTGCTGTATTATTTAGAAGGAAAGTTGTATCTCAAAGTCTTCATCACCTATAGTGTAGGCTTTTGTTTAGAATGTCTCTTCTCTTTTTAACATTGGAAAAGAATGCATAAAAGTTAGAAAATTAATAATTTGCATTTATTCTAAAGAAATAAGAGAAAACATATTTGGAAGGATTAAATTTACTAATAAAAAGGAAATCTTATTTCAGGAAATCCAATTAGATTCTATATCATGTCAGAGTAACATTTGTGTCATTACTCTTGAGTTCTTTCAAGATTTTAAGATTATAAGAGACAAACTAAAATGTATTACAGAAATAAACATTAAACAAATCTGACTTAATGGCTCAGATAGTAACATCAAGCAAATATGATTGTATTCATTGTTTTAAATATTAATTTCTAATCTAATACCTCCCCTTTGTGTGCTTCCATATTTGCTTCCTTTCTTAGAATGTATTTTAAGAGAACTCCTTTTTTTTTTGGTACGGGAATTGAACTCAGGACCTTGTGCTTGCCAGGCAGGTGCAAAGAGAACTCATTTTAATTCTTGGTGATGTTTGTTTTTTGTACTTAATACTTGAAACCAAATTAATACTTTAGTATATCATTGATCTTCATTAATCTTCAGTTAATTGCAAATTCATCTACTTGATAAAATTTATTTGTAACCCCAATTTCAGTGTTTATAGTCCTTTTATGGTCATTTCTAGACAGGTACAGAGCAACAAAGAAATGTGAATTGTCCGACATGCACTTTCCCAGCAGAGGTCATGCAGGATATACTCTTCTTTCTCGTTTCAGGTGTCATACAGTAAACACATACTCTTTTTATATCATCTGTAGTGCCACATTTCCACCTTTTGTGCTTTTCGGGTGATATTGCTGTTTAAAATGGCCCCCAAGGATAGTGCTGAAATACTTTCTCATGCCCCTAAGTGCAAGAAGGATGTGGTGTGTCTTGTGGAGAAAATACCTGTACTAAATACGCTTTTCTCAGACCCACATTACAGGTCTCTGGAGCTCTTGGGCATGATTCCAGTGTTAATGAATTAATTATATAATACGGTGCCTTTAGATAGAAACATACATAAAGCAAGGTTATATATTGATCACTTGATGAAAATACAACCCTGCATTTAGTGTGGGTCAGTATCTGCTAATTCAGTGTTCATTGTGACAGTGTAGAGCGGGATAGAGCTCAGCTCTTTCTTAGCATGTGCAGAACCCTAGGTTTGATCCAGAGCTTGAAGAATAAAAACGATGAAGACATGATTGAATATAACTGCTGCCCACAATGAGAGTCAACTGTGTGACAACAGGACAATCAAGCAGGCAGGCTGTTGCTTCCAGCAGTCTTTGTTCTGTCACTAGGCACCAGCGCCCATTGTTGTAATGGTGCGGTGAGGGGAGTGTAAGCCCTGGCCTTGGGGAATTCCCTTTTCCCAGGACTGCTAGTGTTAGAGCCACTGCTGCCTGTAACTGTTGTTGAAGGAAAACACTGTAAAGCTACAACTTTACTTTCACTGCTGAGAATATTATCAGCATATAAAAAGAATCACCTAGAGTTTTTCAGAAACTGACAGTGTAGTTTTAGTATATTTGTATTTGAAAAATAAAAAGATACACAAAGCTTTACTATAAAAATACTTCTACAAATTAAAAAAATTTATCTCTTCTTTCAGAGTTAATGATGAAGATATTAGATTAATGTTATGGGATACTGCAGGTCAAGAGGAATTTGATGCTATAACAAAGGCCTATTACCGAGGTAAAATGTGAGCTTTATTTGCTTATTTTTTAAATTATTTGGGGTGTTTTCCTTTGCTTAGAGAAAGAACTCTCCTTTCTTTGTTTCCCATATAAGGGTTTCTCTTTAAGAAAAGTTAAAATAAGGCTGCAGTTGTAGCTCAGTGGTGGAATGTTTGCCTAGCATTCATAAGGCTCAGCCTTAGTTTGAGCCTCAGCACAACAATAGTAGAATTTTTTAAATGGTTAAAACAATTTAAAAGTATTTTTAACCCCAATGCATTAGTGAATGACACTTTGTACTATAGACATTTTGTTTCTGTTCTAAAATTATATGACCTATACAGGCAATCTCAGACTGAATCAGTAGGTTAAATGCCTACTCTGATCCCAAGGCAATGACTCTGTTGTCAGAGTGGAAACTCAGATAAGAAAAGAAAAGGCATTTTTGTTGCAACACATGGAATCCCCACGATACAGCCTTTTCACTGCTTAGAACTTCAAGGTAAGGTACGTGTGAGAGGAAGGACCACAGTTATAGTTTAATATCCTAAAAGGTGAGCTTCAGTTCCTCAAGAAAGGCTCAACTACTAATTTTGTTTTGTTTTGTTTTTTTGTTTTTGTTTTTGGTACCAGGGATCAAACTCTGGTCCTTGTGCCTGCGAGGCAGGTGGTAGAACCACTGAGCTAAATCCCGGGCAGAAAGGCTCAATTAAACCTAAATTTCCTTTAAAATTTTCCTACAAACATTTTTCTTTTGAAATTTAAATTTTAATTTTCAGCCAGATGTGGCACACACCTATAATCTCTGGAAATCTGAGGCAGGAGGATTTGAAGTGTAACCCTAGCCTGGGTATTTTAGCAATTTAATGAGATCCTGTCTTAAAATAAAAATTTTAAAAAATGGCCTGAAGATATGGCTCTGTGTGAAGGCCTTGGATTCAGCCCCTAGCACCACAAAAACAAACATTGTCATACTTCATCAACTCACTGCCAGTGGTGATTGAAATGACAGAACAAAATAATTGAAAGCTTGATTTGGTATCGTGAGCATTTCATCCTATTGATGCCAAGTAAGTATTTGAGACTTATCAGCAAATGTTTAATACTGTGGCATCTGATAACATTGTAATTTGACTTATTTTCTTTTTTCCTTCTTTTAATGTGGTGCTGGTGATTGAACCCAGAACTAGGCACACACACTCTAGGCACACACTGAACTGTACCCAATCCACGATTGCTGTTTCAAGATTCAGCCCTTTACCCATTTCCTTTTCCTTCCTAAAGCCAATATCTTTTTACAATCTCTTAAAATCCAACCCTCTGTAAAGTTTCCCCCTTTCTGACCACTCTGATCCCAGCTTGCTGACTTTATTAGCCATGTTCATGTAACTGTCCTTGAACACACTGAGAACGTGGGTCCGCTGACACTGCCAACTGCTCCTTTTACTATGACTCGACATACCTTTACTTCTTTTGATCAGCTTCCTTTTTCTAGTCCTGTAAAGGTTTGCTTGCAAACCTCTGTAACTCCCTCCCCTGAATTCCCTGCCTAGTACTTGCTCTGTAGAATGTCTGACCCAGTTAAATCCCACTATCTCCAGTGTGCTTCTGAGCACCTGTACCTCATTAGAGAGTGTCAGACAGAACCACTCTGAACGTGGAGGTTATGATCACTCCACTTGAAGCATACTCAGTGCAGCCAGACACTGTCCACATACCCTGTCTATTCAGGTCTCTGCCATTTTCCAGAAAAGCTATTTCATGCCCTCTCTTTCCTTAACCTTTAGAACCTCTTGTTCTCTACTCAGCTGACTTCCTTGCTTTGTTTTTCTTTGAAAAACTAAATGCAATACAAACATTATTTTATCTTTTGCACTGCCAATTCAGTTCCTTAGTTACAATTTTAAGAAACTTTCTCTTGTTTGAGAAATTCAGATGATTTAGCATCACATTCCCAGGGCTTTGAGGTTGTGTTTCTTTGTGTTCCTACTCTCATTTCTTGCTGACTTGTACTTCATTCTTGAGAAGTCCCCAGATTATTTTTTGCTTTTTACACTAAGCCTGGAATGCTTTCTTGTGCCATTTGCCCCTCTGCCATAAAGCCTGACAGTACTGAAATCTGTGAAACCTTCTGTGACTCGCATCTCTGAAAAACTTAATCTGTATCAATATACTTCTGTAAGTTTATTTATTTGTCCATATATTACTTGTGTTGCTTGAAATTCTGGCTTATGGATTATAGCACTTTTTTGCTTTGCTTTTTTGGTCTTTGTCTCCCCAGCCCCAATGCCTACTACCTGTTGGCTCAAATGAATTTAGTCAATTTTAGGAGGCTGAATCATTTGGGTTAACTTTCTTTCCAGTACATTTATAGGAAATTTTAAAAGGAAATTTAGGTATAATTGAGCCTTTCTTGAGGAAATGAACCAAAGGCTTTTGCACTAAGCTGTGTTCCCAACCCTTTTTTATTATTTTGAGAGAGGGTCTTTCTATGTTGCCCATCTCAGTTGGAACTTGAGATCTTCTTGTCTCAGCTTCCCAGAGTGCTAGAATTACATAGTCTGCCAACTCTGCTATTTGGGATTATTCTATCTTCATAAGTAGAATGATGATAGTTGAATACCAAATACTCCCAAAAACTTTGGAATCAGTAATGATTTGTTTGAAGTTTCTTAAACTGTCCTGCCTTAGCTTTGATAAACAAATAATAAACCTTCTTTGATATGTTACTTTATACAACTTGAAAGGAAGTGTATATGTATCCTGGATTATATCAGAAGCAACACTTGAAATAGATTATGAATATTAAAGTAGCTGGGGATTTAGCTCAGTGGTTCTCCCACCTGCCTTGCAAGCGCAAGGACCCGAGTTGGATCCCTGGTACCAAAAAAAAAAAAAAAAGAATATTAAAGTAA